ACAATATATAACCAAATTCTACAGATGGTCCAGTTCTGACTGGTTGATAGGTTGCCAGCCCCTGGGTAGATTACAGCTGATCTCCAGGTGGAGTACATGGCATTATACCTTGATGAAGTTCACCCCATACCTTGCCCATCCCAGTCTCCACTCCCAAAAACTCCAGGAATTTGCCAACCCAGGGCTGGGAACCCTACTGGTTGAATGTATATTGCTCTCTCATAACAGGTGGTGCTGTAGTGGGAAATCGTTTGTAGTCGCCCAGTGTTACTGTCCACCAATAATATTTGTTGGAGAGGATGATAGAATTTGGGTCTTTAATTCTTGTGATTAAGGAGAAAAAGACTTTGTAGCTCTGTATCTCCTGTAGTATCATCTTTCAGTCGTTAGGGTCAACTTTGATTTGATGGCTGCAAAACCACTAAAATGTATTTTGATTCACATATAGGGGACTCGTTGAATAGCAGGTAAACAAGTTCATAACAATCGCACAGATTTATGCTGCCTGCCTCGGTTTTGTTCTAATATATTGCTTTTAGTTGCCACATATAGGGGACTCGTTGAATAGCAGGTTAACAAGTTCATAACAATCGCACAGTTTTATGCTGCCTGCCTCGGTTTGGTTCTAATATATTGCTTTTAGCTGTTATATTGTGTTTGTTATTACTTGGTCACAGCCAGTGGCAGAAGCCAAATAAATAACTACAAGTACTATCGCTGTTGTTATAAGTGGCTTGAGGATGTTTGGTAGAGCTGTTGCATCATGAACACATTGAAGCTGTTTGATACTAAATCAAACCATTGGTCCATCAGAGTCAGTATTGTCCACTCAGACCGGCAGCAGTTCTCTTGGGTCTCAGGTAGCAGTGTTTCATATCCCTTGTTGCTTCATCCTTTTAACTGGAGATGCTGGGGATTGAACCTGGGATCTTCTGCATGCCAAGAAGATGCTGTACCTCAGAGCCAGAGCCCGTTCCTAATCCATCCATGGTAATGCATCCTGGCTCTCCCTGGCCTAACTAATATTCTCCATATTAGAATCTGCAGATTGGAAATAATCATAAAGGCTTGAATCTACACATCAGATATACATCATGGCAGTATTAAAGTCACAACGGTATGATCAGGCTAAATGTGAAAATAAAAACATACACTATTAGTATTATTTCTTTCATAATGGGTCAAGTGGTAAGAACCACACAGTTTAAAGGTAATTAATGATGCTACCCTATGCAGGTTAACTCAGAAGTAACTCCCACTTTATTCAAGGGGGGCTTTTCCGGGATAAATGTGCATAGGATTCTACTGTAAGCATCCCTCTTGAGTTTCCAGAATTTCAGAACATAATCTATACAGCACCTAGTTTCTTGCTTTCTGTAGGATGTGGTATTCGTTTGAGAAAATTCTGTATCTGTGATACTTTTTAAAAAATTCCTTTTACGTCCCAGAGCTTTTGCTGGGAAGTAAGCCACAGTGTGAAACTGCTTCCAAGTAAGGGTGGTGTGGATCATATTCTGTGCGAAAGTTTGGAGATGCAAGTTGCAGGTGCTTTTTTTTAAATCTCCAAGGATCTATTTGGAATTTTTTTCCTCATGTTACCATGGAAGTTTAGGAATAGATTTGGAAAAATCAAAATAGCTTTAAAACAAATATGTATGTTTTTATATGTTTTAAAACACACATGCACACATATCCTATCACCAGATGGTAGGCTGCTTCTCCCACCTTAAAAGACAGATTCTTAATGGTTTGGCTAACCCTCAAGGGAAACAGATCTGTGCTAAGATATGAACATCTGTAAGGGCGTGGAGAGATTTATGCAGGAAACCTGCAGTGGGCTGCTGAAAGACAAACACCGACAATTTTTCTATCACAAGGATTGGAATTCCGTTGTCTTATTAGGATATTCCTAGTGGGAAATATGAGCAAAAGTAAAACAAATACCAATAGAAGAATACAGTATCAAATTGGCATTAGAAATGAATCCAGTTTAATATAATAGAGAACCTGTATCTTTGGGCCTCATGGACTCATTCACTGCTTCCTTTCCTTGCTCACTGATGGGGGCATTAGTTCTTACGGTATTTTCCAGTAAACTAAAATTCTGCCAGTTGGTGCATTTGTAATCCAAGAGAGCATAATTATTAACAGGAAACTAAAACTTGCTTTACTCAAAATGGGGACTTTAAAGTGTATCCCAAGAATACTAAGGTATTCTAAAAAATTTTGAAACCGCAAGTGTCACTAAAGCAAAAAACAAACACAAAAACAAAAAAAGCCATGAAAGCTGTGGGTGCTGGCAATGATTTATTGGGAAATTAAGTCCCCTACATGATTTGAGTTCAATAAATCTTTCCAGAAGCAGGGGTAGGGGACATCTGTAAACCTCTTCTTCAAAATGGAGGACTCAGAGTGGGATGTGTGGGTTGGTGGGTTCCATTCACTTTCTAGATTCATGTCTGTGGGAGTGAGCAAAGGATACTTGCAATTACAATTACAGCCTTGGATCCAGTGATACACAAGTGGGAATGTAAACCAAATTCCATGTAGTTCTGCTTGTTCATGAAACGGTTTGCACAGCATCTAGCATAGTTGGAATATTTAACATAGTGCTGGAGGACGATGTGGGGCTTTTCACACTTTCACTTGGGGCAGATTGGCCATTAAGGCTTTCAGGAAGGGTCCAGGTGAGCCTGTGGCCTTAGGGGGCTGCCCTTCTCTAGGGCCACACTGACCCCATCAGAAGGGCACCTGCCATCACTAGCGAACAGGTGGGCACAAGCTATGGCAAGTAGGTGGATAGCCGCCTCTACGAGATGGTGACCCCAGCCCTGTTGTAGCCTGCTCTTCCTCTTTTCTTCTC